TGAAGTTTTTATTCCCTGAGCGCCTAAAGATAACATTTTAACTGCTCCAGAATAGGTATGAATTTGAGTCCAACGTAATATTCATTTCTCAGTCTTATAGTCCTCTTCTTTTGGCCAGTAAAACATGGAAAAACTATGCCATCAAGAATTTTCTCCCAGCGGCGTGAGTTCCTAAAGTTCATTAACTAGGCTTAAATAAAAATATCTTTTTAATAGACATGATAGTAAGGAAAATCATACAAACCATTTCGGGGATCTTGAACTAGTTAATAGTAATAATGATGATAATAATCAATTTATAAAGCGCCTTTTCTACAAGATTCAAAGGCGCTGTTTACAAAAACTAGATAAAGCTAGAAAGTAAAAATAATCACAAAAAATTGACATTAAAACTAGGCGCTAACTACAAAGTCGATAAATGTACACGATAGATAGGAACTATTTATCGTTCATATTTATAGATCAGACAAGAGGGAATCCTACCCGCTAACGACACCGAGGACTTGGCTTGTGTCAAGTCAACAAGAATTGAAGAGCACTCAAGCAGATGCACATTGTACAAAAGTTACGGAATCCACTTTTATTTAAAAAGCATTGCGACATAGCGTTATTCACGGACGCATGTAAATTGTTTACCAACCTCCGCTTGCGCACATTTGCAACGAGATGAGATAATGACGTGGGTCTCAGGTAATTATACATGAAATCGCGCTCAAAATATGCCATACCTTTTAAATCTATGTGCTACATGTTTCTTGGACGCATAACTGTGGGGACTGGGGACTGCTGTAATTTTACTTTGATACGTAGGTGTGATTTTTTTTAAAAATATATACGCACTGTTTTTGAGTAAATGTACTGGTACTGATATAGTTAGTTAGTTAGTTGTATTGTCACCCCCCTCCTCCCCCCGACGAAGTGCGTGTAAGAGTCACACAATACGGAGGTGGGTCATTGGAATTTATAAGAAACCGAAAACCGATCCGCTACAGCGGTGAAAAGAGGAGACAGGAGTCCAATAGAGAAAACCGAAAACCACCTCGGATACTAAATTGATAAACCTTTAATATTTTTGTAAAAAACCGAAAACTAAATGCAAAAAACAGAGAATTCGTAAACCGCAAAGGACACCAAAACCGAAAAAGACGATTTATTTTGGGCATAAAGAACGTAAAACCGATCTGAAAAATAGTCAAAACCGCATCGAAAATCTCAATATGCCTGGGCTTCTCTCAATACGCCAAGGAGAAATAAAATGAGTGATACAAATACTTGTTCGTAGAAGTGCAGCTCTCCGGCTTGACTTACGAAAAAAAACTAAATTGTAGCACCAACAAAATGTGAAATAATTCAGGCCATTGTTTGGTTTTCCTAATGGTAAATTGAGCCCGAATCAAGTTTCGTAAATAATTTTTTTTGACTAAATTCTATCAAAAAACTCTATCCGATCTCAGTCTGAGATGTTGATCTTCAATTAAATGATCAGTGAAATGAAGTCTTTTGATCAACGGCAAGTGATGTCTTCCATGTTTATTGCTGTTGTCACAGAAAGAAAGGATTACAATAGTTTTGCAAAATCGATGGACATGGCCCAATAAACTGAACGGATTACGCACTTGAGGCATTAAATTGAATCTCCTATTTTGTTCGGAACGAATAATTTGCAAATTCAGGGAAACTTCTCGCCTGCATGATCGTGATATTATAAGCCGGTGTGTGTTTTTAGAACTAGTCTAATGCACCAGACAATTTTTCAATGGTGTTTTTGAAAGTGTTTAACGTCGGCGCAAACCAGACTTCCCTAACCATTTCAAACTCTTGTGATAAATATAACATCTATTTTCAATATGCTTGGTCGCTAACGATATTTGGTATATGTAATCTTTTATCCTGCATGTATACGTAATCAGTCATTGTTTTCATGCCATGCATGCGGTACGTGTTAGAGTGCTCCTGCATATGAAGGTTTACGAAATTTATGTTATTCTTAAGATCACCATATTGATAACGAAACCTAAATATAGACGGTCAGCAGTAAATCGACTTCATCCGCTCTACACGAAGGTTCATTTTTTCAGGTTTTTCTACAAGTTTTGAACAAAAAGAAGCATTTTTTCTGACCTCCTAAATGAGAAATATAATCACCTTGAGTCCAATTTAACTTTATTGCAAGGCTGTTGGAAGATTAAAGACTTGATTAGCAAGGGCTCTAGCTTGAATATTTATTATAACGCATTCTTTGGCCAAGGGATGATTACGTGAAGCAAATTTATCACTTGCAGCAACAACTATTGTCCAGTCATCGATCGCGTGAACAGAAAGACGAAAACCGATGAGAACGCAGCTAAACAGGAACGGCAAAGAATAATCAAATAACCATCTGATCAATAAATGGGTTTATTCGCCGAAATGGAAAACTATTTTCAACCCCTGTTTGATAGACTGTCAATCGCTAAGCCACCAATACTGACATGTACATATCGTGAAACTTGATTATTAAAAGACTGGTTTCTGTTTGCTTTTACTAAAGTTGTGCCGGAATAATGTTACTTTTTAATCTACATGACATTCTGTGCAGCTACGTATACTTACTTGCTTCTACGGCTTTGTTTATCTTTTCTCAGTGTCTCTGGCTTATTGCCTACATGTAAAATAGACATGCTTTTTTCTACACAAAGTGAGTGGTTGTTCACAAACGCGACGTGAATATTTTAGCTTTTTTAGCTTAGGTGTAAAGTTGGGTCTAACGTAACCCTTCTGCTGGACTAGAAACACTGCAGCGCGTACCTTCAAATTCTCATTGGTGTCCAACGATCAAAAATAAAAAACTATTTTCTTAAAAATAAGAATGATGACCGTGCTTTGTCCTTTTTTTTCAGCGAAATAGAGGAAAATTTTCATCAAAGAGTTTTCATAACGAGAGCTCACAAAATTCGTGACTAGACTGCAAGTCTCCAAAATCGCGCAGTCAGAACTACATGTTCCCAATCCCTTTTGCTTAATATATGCATCACATGTTTCTCATCCTACACAAAGCGAGTTGACTGTGCGGGAAAAATAAACGTGAAGTGAATATTTTAACTGCTCCAGCACAGGTGTAAAGATGGGTCTACGAATTGTACATTAGGTCACCGCTCCTTCCACTCTGTCTTGAGTTGATGATGAAAAAAAAAGGAGAAAAAGAAACTTACCGTGGCGTTAACTAGTTTATCTCTGACATAGTATGCTCCCTCTGGGCATGGTACAGACCTGGTCTTGGAGACAATAGAAGCCTGAAAACATCATTAAAGTCAATATCTTCACAATTGTTTAATTGCTGAGGGTTAAATTCACTCCTCTCATACGATCATGGGAACAACTTTGGTCTCATATGATTGCGCTGCTCCCACTATTTAATTCATCAATAACTCCATTGGCGCACGAATGTAACTGATGGTAAATAACTCTTATCCATCAACCGCGAAAGAAACAACTATTTTATTGAATTTCCGCATCTCGGACATTGCTATAAACTTTGACTACAGGCTATATTTCAATTTAACAAACAACCAGAAGTGGTTACGACTTCAGACTTCCGAGACGGCAAAATGGTCAAATGTCACGAGGGAACAATGAACTTAACTTACCGTTTAGAGGAAATCAGACCAGCAACATCAAAAAATTTAGCTTTGACCGAGACTGCTACTGCATGCCACGCGTTACGGTAACGCTGCAAACAACACATAAATCATGTCGAGCCACAGCAATTCTTATTCATAGTTTCGCCAAAAGTGTTAGACTTAAAGGAGCTAGCTGTTGCGCTGGAGAAAGTTGGAACTACCATTTGAAACCAGCAACAACAGATTCAAAAATCATGGAGAACTGAAGACAATTTTGCTGAAGCCCACTCTCTGTCCTGTATCCAACAAGCATATTTTATAGCTCAAGAGTAACGAAAAACGGAGTTTCTCAATTAAATATTGGCCAAACAGCATTCAATCGCATCTTTAGCATCTTCGATGCTATACAAGATCTAACTAAGAGAGCCAGTCATCAGTTTTTTTTACTCGACTCCCACATTTAGATGTACGTCATATTATTTTTACATGTGGTGCTCATGAGCTACAATAAATGACCTCTCGCTGTTTCCTTTATTTCCTGCTTGTGTTTTAAAACAATATTATGAAGGAAAAGTAGCGGCTAAAAACGGTGCGTACCTTTTATATTTATAGAGACACACACGAATATCTCTGTTTTATCAAAGGTATATTATTTCTTACTATTATTTTAGCTTTATTTGTTGTTCCAACTTGATATGATTTGATCTGTTGCCTGTAGTTGGTCCTGAGATCCAATCCAATCTCTCCTCAACACCAACATAATTTATATCCATGAAGAATGAATTACATAGTCAAGCGTCTTGTGATATAAAATCCATTTGTAATACGCAGATGTAAACAGAACCCTGCAATTACCTTGTTCTTTAGCTCAAAGCGAGGAAAGAGCCACCAAAGTATATTCATATCTGACTTTTAGCTGTTATTTTCAAAGAAAACATTCAAGAAAGACAGACTTAGAATACCACACGGGTGAATAACTAGAGAAGACCACTGGCTGTCAAGTTTTCAAGCGAAAATGCGTTAAGAAATGGATGCTTGCCAGGAAGCCTTGAGGTCACTGGAAGAAATAAAGTTATTGTGTGGGTATTTGAAAACTTCTTAAGTATGCTGCATTTTGTCTGACAAAGCTTGCGTACAGGATTTTCGAGGATAAACTACTATTTTAGTCTGTTTCTAACACAACATCAGCCACGATAGATTTCATTTTCCCACTTCTTTGCTTGACCCTTTTTTTTCTTTTCAATCTTAAAACACAGCCAGAAAAGTATCATTAACCAACATATAAATATCAGGGGAAAACTTGTTGGTATTTGCTCACGTCGACGGACCCCGTCTAGATCTTCTTGTTAATCTCCTCCAAGTAAAGCTATGAAAACGTGCAGAAAGCAGCATTCACACGTGTGGTATGAATTCGTCTTTATTACATCCTTGTCGTTTTCTACGAGAATGTTTATACTGGGAGGTGATCTTTGAGTTCAACCAGTTCAAACGACTCAGAAAATTCAAATTTTATGGCACCGAATGAAGACTTGATAACTATATATCTTAGATGCCAATTCGGATTAAAAATCCTAAAATCGGAGAGAACAGAGTTTTACGAATTTAAGCTGATTCATAAACATCATTCTTTTTAATTAATTAAGGTAAAGCCATTTTTACCCATTCACCCTGCATCATAATCGTTCTGCAAAATAAAAGACCAATTAAACCTGAAATAGCCATCTATGAATACAACACTGTTCTACCTCTACTTATAAAAAGGGCTTACACTCACACTTGTACTTCTAAAAGCATCCATTGCGCATGCCCATACAAAATTTAAACCCATTTAAATTTCCAAAAACAAAACCTTATTTTCAAAGAAATTCTTACCAAAATGAAACTTAACATTGCAAGCAATGCTGGTTGATTGAACTATTTAACCTACTACTTCCAAAGTAAAAAGATAAAACACTTCTTTAAAAAGACAATGATATTAAATTGAAATCCATCAACTGATTTAAAAATTGGTACCCGTACCCCGCAAATACTTGTAACATTATGCTAATTCATCCTCATAGCGGAGAGTAGGTAAACCTCTGATTCTTGTCAGCGGTGCACTGCCTAGATCTTCAAATTCAAACTTATTTCAGAACAGCGACGGCTACAAGACCCTTAGGGGCGGAACACAGTTTTATGGGTCAAGTGGAAAATCTAAAAGGAGTTTTAACCTCAACTAAAAAACTACTTCTTCGCATTTTGATTTTATCTTACTTTCTCTAAACATGAACGTCCTTTTGAGCCATCTACAGTTGCTAAACAGCCCAAATAACCCCATGCATTAACAATGTGATCTGAAATCAGTCCATAATGCGAGTCTGACAGAGAAATGTTCAAACTAACTTACAGCTAACTGACAAATAATAAAAATTCAGCCTCACTTCGGCCAAGCGGATCATGTTCAGTTTACTGGCTCTTCCGCCAGGGTGTAATTTTTCCAAACATAATGAATCTCGGAATATTCATTTATTTCGACAGCCGTGCTTTTCTGTTTTGAATAAAGCAGGCAGTTACCCTTGGCGTTTTTACACCAACTTCCGGATATCTTAGGGTCACACATCACAAACGCCTGACAAAATGCATCTTCAGCACAAAATAAGCTACACTCAGAAACATTGGCAGACTGCTTTTCGCCACGGCGTTGCTCAATTTCTTTGACTTTAAGATGTTTCAAAACAAAACTTTCCTTTAATCGATGCAGTCTCGAGAGAAACACCACCAGTTTGGAATTCGTCGTTTCACCCGCTGTGAGATCCTTTTTCGTGTCGAAGAGTTTACACCCCCTCCAAGCAGAATACTGAACTGCCACGCACTTCTCGTCCAATAGACAAATGGCTCTACAATCTGTCTCATCCACCTTTCCCAAATATCTATAGCCTGAAAGAAATCAGAAATGAAAAAATTCACGCAAAGTTGTATAAACAGCACTAAAAGCTACGTGTCCTACTGAGGATCAATATAAAAACAAAACAAAAAAATGGACATCCTTGGACAATTTTTGTGTGTGCTTGTGTGTGTTGTTTCTTTGGCTTTTTTTTTTATCTTTTCATCCATTTACATGCATGGGAGAAATCAAATTTGAGCTTATCGGGACACTAAACATGTTGCTCTTGAGCGAGCACCTTGAAACTGAAATGAAATTCCAGAAAACTGTTGCACAACACAAAATGCATAAAGAGATATGTTAGCTTTTCCAAACAGAGTCCTTGTCACTGATTATAAGAGTTTAAATATTTCAGAATTATCTTGCAGCTTCAAACTTTATCACGATTGCTATATTTTAAATGATGTAAAAGTTTGACACATAAAAAAAAAAAAAAAACAAAAGAAAAGAAATTTGGCAACTTTACCAAATGTGGCTACTCCAATGTTTTGCAGTTCAATGCCCAAATTAATGTCATCGTCACACGAATCTACCCGTCCTGCGAGTTTCAGAGCCTGGCAATAATTTTTTGAGGAATTGATGATCATCTCACGCATAACATCCAAGTTTACGTCGGGAAGATGCTTCGAATACCTCTCAGTAAACAGGTTATGAATAGCTCTCAAAGTGAACCTGATAGGAACTGGATTTTCTTGGACAGAGGAAGCCCACGTCATAGCATCCCCGTTGCTTGGGGGAGCTGCTCCTACAGTGATTGTGCTTGTCTCCACAGACTTCTGAAAGTTGGAAACAGCAGATCTTTGCTCTGAGTCCATTGAAAATCCCCCTCCGATACTGTCGACTCCTGAATAGCTGGCTTGTGCTTCTACACTAATTTTCTGGCTCCTAAGCTCTGTGTACTTTGTTTGACTCATTTTGTGGTTCTTCATGAATCGTGCTCCAAACGTAACCTCTGTTAGGTAATGAGTTCCATAATATTGGATGAACTCCAAGACTGCATCACCGTTGCCATTTGAGTTGGAAAGTCTCTTTGCCCAGCTTACAAAGCCTGGGTCAAAGGGTGGGGGATCCGTGTCGTCCATTTTGCTGAAATAATAACGGCATTGAGCCTGGGATATGACGTACAGGTATTCTCCCGACGACATTTGTGCCACAGATTCTTTGTAGCTTGCGCTTGCGCTAAATTTAAAGCCCCATCCACCTCCTGCGGTAATTAAGAATATTATTTTAGTTTGAAGCCACCCATTGGCATCGGAAGGCTAGGGTGAATCAAATGGGCTGTTTTTTTGTATTTTTTAATAGTCAGCCCTAACAGATTATTTACAGGTCAAATAAGTGAGCGCCTGCCTGGCATGATTGTAATGACCCTGTAGGAGGAGAGGAATTTACTTTTATCTCATTGACCTACATTTTTGACGAGATCAATATAATGGTACATTTTGACTGCCTACAAATTAATCTTCACTCGTCTCGAGGTAAATTTGAAGTGTAGTGAAAACGTTTGAATGTCATTTTGATCTCACTCGTACGCGTGGAGCTCTGGGAGCAAGAGGAATAAATGAGTCACTTAATCAACAGTTGTTCAATGCTCCTGTTGTTGCTGATTCTGAAATGAGTTACACACATAATCACATGAGCCAGAAACGCAAAGAAATTAGAAGTAACAGAGTGGCATAGATACAATGAATACATGAAGTTCATATATTTTGAACTGCGGTATTAAATACGTATGATGCACGATCCTTCGCAGTAGATAGCGCTATTTATGCAATAGCGAAAATCAGACTTGAAAAAAATCAGGCCTGTACGGGATTCGAACCACTGACCTCTGCGATACTAGTGCAGCGCTCTATNTGGACAAATCCTTCAAAGAACTATTTGCTAAGGATAGGGTTTACACATGTGAAAGACATTTTGCTTCTGATAATATTGAAATATGTAAGTACTTGGTTTTTATTTTTAGTTTCTCACTCGATACTTCGTTCGATCTCTACAATATTGTCGTGAAAGGTTTGCTTATAGCTTTGCTCAATTTTCATGAAATCGTATCTGATATGTGTCTGTTCATACTTTTCGCAGTTACAACTGAGAAAATGATAAAGAAAAAGCCACGATTTGGTGCTCTACCAACGCTTAATATGCCGATAAGATGTTGCGAAAGCAAGAAGCCACCTGAGCGACCACATCGGGCATATGTTGTCAAAGAATCCCCAAAGTTCGGAGTTTACGACGAAAGGTTATTTTTAACCTACCTTCGATGTTAGCAGATGCTTCAAGAGACTTTGACATCTCCAATCTGTTTCGCACAACTTTGGAAGAAAATGATGTTTCACAGGACACGTCAGGTACAACAATCAAGCCTGCTGGGACACTGTAGCGACAGTCAGAAGTCTGCTTTTCAGAAGTGTAGTCTGTCACGAATATTGGGTGAGTAAAGCCAGGATCGTGGCCTGTAGCCAGTGGATAACCCTTTAAAATGTCGTAGCCGAAGACGGCGTAATCAAGATCCGGAAAGGATCGCTTCCAGTGAGGATTTTGGCAGTCTTGAAGCAGATTGTCTAGCCGTACTCCTGAAACGGGTATAAGAATTATGGTAAGTGCAATGATAGTGTAGTTACGTGGAAAGCATTTCGTAGGATTTCTTTTTGTTGTCCACGATTAGATTTCGACTTTCGAAGCGTCAATAAACAATTGTTATGAGCAAGAAAAACAAGCGCAAATGTTTTTTTTCTCTTATAAATAGGCTAAATAAACTTTTCGGCCCATTTGGTCTTAGGAATTATTCAACAATACTGACTAAATCTTTGCCGATTGATTGTTGAAGATACGTTTATGCGAAGCTTACTTTTATTCAAGTCACGTTCTTACCGAAATTGAAAGAAGCTTTCCCGTCTTTTCCTTGTCCCAACGGCATCTGTAAATTTAGTGCCTTGTTCTGAGACGATTGAGATGATTCACTCGGAACAAACGAGGAACTACAGTGAAAACAACAACAACAACAACGAAACAACAAATGCAGTACATTGCGCGTACGAACGATACTCTTAGTACTTGCAAGGACATACAGTAATATGGCATCTCCATCCTACCCACCCAGACTTAAATTCAATCCTTTTTCCTATTTTCACTCTCTTTTCTATTCCGAGAGCTTTGATGTGATTAAACGGGCTTTCACCTCCTATTTCTCAAAAGCTACAGTCGCGTTACAACAAGGATAACTTTCAGATCTAATTACGGAAGAGGAGTTTATTGACACTTCAGGGGACCTTCGTTTACAATATTCCACTTGCGATGAATGAAGCAGCGAACCGAAATCGACGGTTTACGGTTCCTTTTTCGTAATCTGCCGAAAAATGTGCTAAATTTATTACAATTACATTTTTCCCCATAAGGGGTAACCCTTAAGGGCATATTTATGATAACTTTTATAATGTAATGAAATTGTTGTGCGTGTTGTTGAAATATTATTTATTAAGGGTTATTCATATCATTCATACATGAGAAGTTGCTGAAATGTTATCAGTGTTATTTGTCATTGTATTTATATCGTGCGTGTAATTTTCTAACCCGCACTGTAATTCAGTTTTGCCTTCAAAAGTGTTGATTAAGCATGCCTATCTATCTATTACGTTATTCACTTCGTATGGCTTTTACAATATCTAACTCGCCCACTGGGTGAAATGCTACATTTAAGCGACATTTCAGCAATAGTAAACGGGCATAAAATCCAAATGAAAATTTAAACTTGACTTAAAAAGATACCTTTATTTAACCAGGTTTAAGTTTCAATTAAATGTGCATTAAAGCCAATGAAAGATTTTCAGTTGATCAAGTTTATGTGACCTTAAATATATTATTAAATATGCTCAAAGATTTTGGTCTAGTTTAAGCCGCCAAAAGAATTAGGACCACTTTAAGTAACCTTAAATACATCATTAAACCTACTGAAAGATTTAAGGTATCCCTTAAGCGAGTCGAGGTTTTGTGTAAAATGTACTCGCATATAGATACTTACTATGCTGTCTGTCTTTTAACTCTTTTGTTTTGCGTTTAAACGGAGTATCCAGGAACGGCTTGATCATGATTGTATTTACCTTCTCTTTGACTTCTATGTACGGATGGTTTTCAGTAAGATACACTACTTGTCTGATTGAATGAAATCGAACTTTCTTCATATCATCGCTTTACTTGAAGTATGGCATCTCTACGCAGACTAAACTGCTTACACGGCTGATATATCGTTATTTTTTTGATGACTCGACAAAAATAAGTGACAGACAGTTTGTAAAAAAATGTGATAGCTTATAAATCTCGTCTTCCTACACGATATGAATAGTGATTTTATCTACACCATCTTGAATATTAATGGTGCCAAAGGTCCCATTTGGATTTGTGGTACATTTCGTGACCATTACATCACATTTTTACCTACATCTACCAATGCATATGCGTTAAGTTTTATGACCCTCACTGCGCATGCTTCACGTGACCACTCAAAGTCTCCCACATGGATGCCATCTACACACCAGTTTCATATATGATTGCGATCAACTCTTTACTCTTATTACAACAAATAAAGTAAACCTAAACGATATAAATTAAACCAAGAACACCTACACCGTATGCATATATTAATTATCCTTAAATCCTAACTCTACCAAAAAGCGTATTTCAGTCGAGTTTACGTTCCATCAGAGTTAATAGAGGGAACTCTGATGGAAAGTTAAACTCTACTAACTATGATTCCATTAAATGTAACGTAAATAAATATTTTTGTTTACAGGCATTTAAGGAGGCTCGAAAGGGTTGTTTTGACCGAGCGGAGAATGAATTCCAAAATACACGTAAGCAAATTACTCGCGAGAGAAATAAGAGAAGGCGCACGCGATCAGATCCGCGGTCGAGTTATAAACAAACATGGCCGCTATGAGCGTTTCAAAATTGCCGGGTACCTCTATTGTTTCCAGCGGAAGTGGTTGTTTGAGAAACAAAACTGGAAAGTTTACTTCTTGAAAGTAGGTAGGAAAATGTTTGGATGGCAGGACTTTTGCCGAAAGTGGCCAAAAACAGTTTATTTAACGAGCTAAAAGAGGATGGTGAAGTCAACACCCCATCAATAAAGTCGCGACGAGTGTGTTCGGTACGTCTTACTTTGTTCCGCGAAAAATTTAAGTGGATACCTCTGAGTGCTACGATTTGTTTCGCATTGAATTTGATTCCTAATAAAATGCAATGACCGAGAACTTTCCTAAACAACTAACCGGAAGATGAAAAGGAAAATGAAATCATTGTTGGATCCAGGATGGTAAACATTGACAGTATGTTTTATGAACGGAAATGGAGAAGTGTAAATGTTGCCTTGAAAAAGAACATAATTTTCAGTAAACAAGAGATCGTAACAATGTAGATGAGACTTTAATTCTAATTCAACCACAAACGATAAAATTAAAATAAAATATTCATCTTAAACTTGTGAGAAAGATTGTTGATACTTCAGTCAATAAACTGTAAATTACAACTACAAAAATGCAAACTCGCATTTGTTAAGAAAGCATTGCAAAATTTGTTTTGCTTTCCATTTAAAACGGAATAATGAAAGTTCACGGTCATGACAGTGGCAAAGAGAAAAAAAGGAAAATGAAGCAAAGGCTTGTTCATACCTCTAATACCTTGAAAAATATGGAAATTCGCGAAATCTGTGACGACCAACAAATTACTGTTGTATATGAAACCCTGATTTCCGCTGAGTTTGACGCTCTGCTTGACAATCTGGAAGACGTCAAAGCAAATTCTTTTCACTCCAAATTGTTTTCACTCCTCCACTTCAAATTGCACACAAACAATTATACGGTCAATGGTAAATGTGCATCGCCGAATGAGGCCTTCGATCAAGCCATCTTCTCGGAACAACGACAAGATACCATCCAGACTTTCGATGGAAAGCTTCATCTTTCGACAAACATGGTCCGGTCCAGAAGCTGGCAGAGGCAGGTTTGTGTCATGTTACATTACAATCTCTGTACGAGAAACTCAACATTAATGGCCTCAATGTTGTACTGGCATTGGCGCCATCTGTAAAATCAACTTGTCATCATATATCGAATTCCGCAAGAGAATTCTCTCCGGAATGTTTTACATTTCCAACTGTCGTAACGGTAAGCAGTCTGAGTCTCAAATGAGGACTTATTTTTCAGGAATGTGTAAAATCACGAAACAATGTGAATCCATTTTCAGGATGTACGATTTTTTGCGCGCTGACGGCATCCGTCGATTAACGGACTCATACTCGCGAAAATGAGCCCTGGAGTCAGCGGTATCGTTTAAAGCGCGTGACCGGATATAAAAGTGTGAGCTAAAATTGTAAAAACCGGAGATAAAGCTTGCTAAGTTGATGAACTAATATCTCGAAAATTAGTTCGGTGACCTACCCTAATTTTTTGTGTACAAATTATTTTCATCATTACGCATTCCGGAAGAAAAATTTTAAAAAAATTTATCCAGTGGAAATTTTTTTACCTTTTAAAACAGTATTTTCCTATATAATTCAAGTTCTACTGGTTAGTTTTTTTTTTATATCACGTATGCAGATAGAGAATGTGATGATGTTAAATAAATTTAAAAAAGAAAACTAGGTCACCGACTTGGTTTTTAAGATATCTTTCAAAAACTGAGAATTAGAAGCTCTTTTAGCACTACTGTACTGTTGCCATGGCAACAGATGATGCTTGACGAGCCCCCTTAAAAGATTGCCCTAACATAGTGTTAAGCATATGTCAAGTCATTATCCCGACGATAAGTTTGACAGTCCTGATATCTTTTACTGATTGGCACTTGCTGTTAATTGCGGAAAACCCTTTCGAGCCTCCTTAATGTCAGCTTAAACCTATATTATAGTGTAGCTTTAAGATAGTAGAAGCTCGGTTTAAGGCAGACTTAAACCGGTGTATAAGTTGCTTAAACTTCAACTTAAACTTAGAAAACTTGAATTTAAGATGGGATTAATCCACGTTTAAGACAACTTAAATAAGCTTTCTCGGTTTAATACAGCTAAACAGTACTTAAAAGAGTGCTTCAGACGAGTTTAAGTTCCATTAAATGTAACGTATACGAATACTTTTGTTTACAGGCATTTAATGTCAGCTTAAACCTACATTAAAGTATAGCCTTAAGATAGTATAAGCTCGGTTTAAGGCAGACTTAAACCGGTGTATAAGTTGCTTAAACCCCAAATTAAACGTAGTAAACTTAAATTTAAGACGGGATTAATCCACGTTTAAGACTGAACTTAAATAAACTTTTTTGCCTTGTGGCCACTTTTGCCAATCCCAACCATTTGAATAAAATGTTCTGTATGTTGTACAGGCATCTTACCTTTTAGATTTGGAGACATACAGTAGTGGTATTACCACAGCCAAGGCTAACAAGAGCACAATAATCAACGCTGATTTCCATTTCCTCCTCAAAAGACTCTGAAAAAGCACCCGAAGGTGGGAGGAGATTTTATTTACTACGTATCCCTGTGTACCCACGCTCGAAAATACGAGGAGGAAGGAAATACGCTTCTTAAACTGTAATTTGTTGCTTTGTTGTGGTCTCATCACCTTTCCTCATGGAAAGTACCGAAAAGCAACAAAACCGTGATTTTTCTATGTTTCAGAGAACTCACTCAAATTGCCCTTGAATCATTTCAGCATTCTGGCCAACATTATTTTAATGAGGAAAATGTGTTCGTGTAGGTGACAATGACGATTGGAGCAGGTTGTGCCGGCTTTTGTTGTTCCGTGCAAAGGGCTAAATTTTAAAATGCATAGAACATTTAAGAGTTCTGCGGCATGCAATTACATCCATGAATTCAAATTATGCGAGTGGAAGAAGGCTTTTGATCGTGCATATTTCCGTGGAAGTTAACTTGCACCAACCTTAGATTTCCTTAATAGAGTTGGATTATCGGTCTCCTCAATCAGACTCTGTAAGGCTTCTATCTGTCTTTCTTGTGATTCCACAGTACGAGAGGTTCTATCCACTTCGTCTTTCAATTCAATGTTTTTCATGTATCGCGCAGCAGGACTCTGTGTGAATGAATGAAATAAATGCATTTATTTTCAGCAAAGGAAATCTATTTCTCCGACTCTCTAAAATTGACTATGGCACCCAATTGCTCCTTCAAACATCACTCTTTTATCAAAAATTCACGCAAAATATAGGAAATGATTCCAGCTAAGGAACATCTCGATTGTCAAACAATTTCTCCTGGTCAGTACCTTAGAAAATGGGTAGAGAACAGTTTGGAGAATATTCATACTGATGTTAGAGTGTAAAGGGTCAAATCGATACGACTATTATGTAATTTGTGGTTTTAATTTTAGACGGACACTAACGTTAGTTTCAGCGGGACT